GGAAGGTACTAGAAGTAGTGGACCAATATTTTCCATTTTCGCACCTGAGTTAATAAAAATATTCTGATGTGCGTAATTTGAAGACAATCGAACTGTTACATAACATTTTATAAGAATTATAATTATTCTAAATATTGACCCTTTTTTGCAGGGAGAGGGGGGTAGGTAGTACAAGAAGGAGTTGACCGATATTATCCATTTTCGTACCTGACGTAGCATTAATGGTAATATTAGGATTTGCAAAATTGAGTCACAATTGGATTATCCTTTCTCATTCTGTGCAGTAAAATATTTTTTCTGAACATTTCGTCCTTTTGTGGGGGCAGTTCCAGAAGATGTGGACCGATATTGCCCATCTCCGAATCCAATCTAAGTTTGATAATAATATTACGATGTACAAAGATTGGACCAATTCGTATACTCCATTTGGGAGTTATCGTGCGCTCCAGTCAGCCAGACAGACGCACGGACATCGCTAGATCGACTCCAAATGTCCTGAAACGGATTTGCTCCTAAACCTTTATTTCTATGAAACACGTTTTGGTCGTTTCAAATTATAGATAGAAGAAGGTGCTCCATTGATAACTGACCATTTGCGAGATCTTCTTAAGATCTTTCGATGTGAGGTCTTCTGTGAGCAGTTATTCCCCATCCCTGATATTTGTTAATTTTAAGCATTCGTTTTACTTGTTATTATTATTTGTTGTTTACTATCAGAATTTAACTTAACAATGCAACCGAAAAAACAAATGCAAGTCAACGGTTATTGAGGGGAGCTGAGGTTGGTGTTTATATACCAAGGAAGAAAATAAACTCTACAACACACATACACTCACACATTTGCACAGCAACTTGCCGGGAAAATGCTTGTCAATGCTTACAGCATATACAGTGCAACATGACACATGGTTTTCATAGTCAAACGTATGGTTAAGTAAACATTTTCTTGGGGAGGGAATTTTCAGTTGAATATTTTTTTTTTTTTTTGTGAAAATTTTATTGGAGAAATCAAAAATTTTGGGACAAAAAGTGCAAGGAATCTCCTTAAAAAAATATATTTATCAGAAATACCTTTGAAAACATCCGAGAAATATTCGTGGGATGTATTTTCATAAGTTATACAAAATAATCCTCGAAGTTATTCTTGAAAAACTTCGCAATATATCGCCATTATTTAAATATTTGCAAATCTCCTTTCGAATTATTTCCTATAAGTTCCATCAAAATATTAGTGAAATATTCATAAAAAAATATCTTTCAAGAAATATCCTTAATTTTTTTCACAAAGTATCCATAATGTGCTCAAAATGTCAGGAAATAATTTTCAAAATTAAAAAATAGAACGTCCTAAAGGAAAATTTTTAGAAATTTCTCCCAATTTTGGTTGAATATTTTTATTCTGTTTTTCGGCCGAAATTTTTTGGAGAAATCAAAGATTTCACAAAACGAACTGTTATTTTGGAAACATTAAACAAAAAAAGATATATCCATTAAATGTTACCTCTCGAAGTAATTCCTAAAAAAATCACAGAATATTACCAATATTAACAAGTAAGCAAAGGCTACAGTCTAGCGGGGCCGACCGTTGAATACCCTACAACACTATAATAAACGATACTGTTTATATAGGCGAGATACTCGAAAGAATTCTACAAGACAAGTGACAAATTATAAAAGAAAACCATCAGGTTTCGTTCTCTAATTTTCGAATAATAGCAACTTAAACTAATTTGCTCATTTCCAATTTATTGGTAGATGTTTCACGTAAATGGTCTTTGTAGATCTGGAACCAACATTTCCCAAAGACCTATAATCTGTCAGAAGTGGCAAAAGATTAACATTTATTATTGGTTTTTGGCTGAAACGCATCTATATGAGATACAGACATTTGACTATATTCTTCCACGAAATCAGCGTTAACGAAATAGTCAGAAGTGAGTCTTTCCAGTATTTGCGAATTCTCCAAAAAGTCACTGGAATGGACATTTTCGAATTTTGTCTACAAAAGTTGGCAAACCATTTCATCACACATTGAATATTTTTGGATGGCCATCCAAAACTGTTTGGCTTTTGCAATGTCCGGTAACACCCATTCAAATGTGCGTGAGGATCGGGCGATAATTACGACCCGCTGATAATTTTGCAGTTTTTTTGGTCCATTTCAACCCCAAGATATATTGCGATCCTCATCTTATACCCATACAAAATTTTGTAAGGATCGGGCCATAAATGCGATCTGTATATGATATCCTGATATCCTAACTACTTAGTTTTGTTAGCTGTAGAAATATTACCAAATGTTTAATTCAAAATGAAAATATGCCAAAAAAATATGACAAAATTGAAAAAATATGAGAAAATGTTACAAAATCAATATTTTCGTCTTTAGAGAGATATTTGTATGTTTTTTTAGACGTTTTTCGTTTCCTGCCATGAGGCCATTCTAAATTAATGAGAACTGTCGAAATCAGTTCAGCCGTTCTCGACATATAAGAGATCTTTCAAGCATATCTTCTTTGATAGACATATATATCGCACATATTTTTCTATATATCCGATTTGTTGGATGTTAACATCAATGTAAAGGTCAGAAGTAACCTTGTCATGGCTTCGTGATTTCGCCGGGATTTAAAATATTCGCGGTTTAATGAAAAATGTTGAATTTTTTCAACACAAAAGATATGGTCTATTTTACCCTCTAAATATTATCCGATGACCACCGAAATTAGTAGGCTTCTTCCCCGCCCTAAACTCTAGCTACATACGAAATTCCGCGTCGATTGGTCTATAATTGCGACCTGTATAGCTACTGCAAAATCCGATATTTTTTCAGTATTTGGTCCATTTCAACCCCTAAACATTTGGCGATCATCTCCAAAAGAAATAGGCTTCTATTCTGACCCTAACCCCACCTCCATTCTAAATTTCGTGAAGATCGGACCACAATTGCGACCTGTAGAGTGATTACAAATTTACATGGACAGACGGACGGACGGACATATATACTTTCCTATATGGGAAACCAATATTTCAAGGTGTTAAATAAATTCTGGCCCAATCAAACTTATAATACCCCCAACACATAGTGTTGTAGGGTGTAAATACCAGTGAATTTTCTTCAATATCCGGGATCTCGAAAAAATCAAGAAAACCATAAAATATTATTGAGAAAATATTCCGCAAGTAATAAAATTCACGAAAATATCCTTTAAAAACTATCCTCACGAAATATTCTTCAGAATTAGTATTCAATAATTAAATTTTTGCTCCTCCAGGCTTTTCCCACAAAATTTTCGAAACCTCCTGCAGAAATACTAACACGAAAACCTTTTTTTAAATATATCAAATCTATGAAATAGCCTTAAGGAATATCCTTCAATAATTCAAAAAAATGTTCCTTTGCCAATTTTCAATAAATAGCAGAAAAATACCCCTCAGATACAGGGTGAGATAAAAAAAAACTGCAACAAAGTCAAACGCCATAATTTTTATTTTTTTTTTCATTTGTTTGAATGAAAGCAAAAAATGTCGGAAATAACATCAAATTTAAGAATAAGTTTAGATTTGTTCGAATTTGGCACGAATTATGGCCTTCAATCGGCCAATGAAACCGTCACACGCTGCCCGAATGTTGATCTGCGGTATTTTGGACCATTCTCGGCGAAGCGCTTGCTTGAGGTGATCGACGGTATTTTTTAGTGCCAACCTTGCTTTCCAAAACACTCCAGACACAATAGTCCAACGGATTGGTATCCGGAGATTTTGGTGGCCATTGTGCGCTGGAAATGAAGCGAGGAACCACATTTAGTAACCATTCTTGGGTGGCGAGTGCTGAGTGCAATGGTGCTGAGTCCTATTGAAATGTCCAAGGTCTGCGGCCCAAGGCTTTGATACTTCCTCCAGAATTCTTTTTGCGATAATATTTGGTATTTATTTTTATGCCATGGTCGATTAATAGGAGCGGAGAGCGACCATCGGCTGTTATGGCGGCCCACACCCACACCATCACTATAGTCGGCGCCTGAGTTCTGGTGACCAACCAAAAGGTGCACATTTTCAGATGACCTCTTTCGCAAGTAAACACTATCATTTTGTTTGTTTACAGCTGCTGCTGGGCAACGAATGTTTTCTCATCGGAGACGGAGAAAACCAAATTCGGCAGTTCGCCACTTTCGTCCAAGCGAAGCAATTCTTTAGCTCTTTTGAGTCTATTTTCTTTCTGTTGCGATGTAAGTTCTTGCACTTTTTGGAATTTCAAGGGCTCTACGCCGAGCTCATTTTTCAATATTTGCAGAATGGAATATTGCGATATGTTCAGCTCGCGAAGCGGGCTGCGATATGTTCGGCCACTGCGACGCGGGTTTCGATCAAGTCGCTTCTTTGCTTTTCGAACCATTTCTGCTGCTGATGTTGCTGTTTTCTTCCGTCCCCTTCCTTGACGTCGAGCTACGCTACCAGTATCACGGTGCGGTGGAGCGATTGTACGAGACACAAAATATTTATTCACATTTAAAGGCTGGAGTGCTCTAACGATAGCCACTTATGGGTTGCTAGCCAAATATAAAAAAATCACTCTATCCCGCTTGAATTCCATCACGAATAACATTTTTTCTGGAAAGTTCTGACCAAAATGCTTTTGTACGCTTGTAAACAATATAATGAGCTGTCACTGGAATACGTTTAAAAGCTGTTGGACGAGTGGCTTAGAAATGACAGCAGTCTGAAGTTAGTTGCAATTTTTTCATCTCACCCTGTAGATATTTCCTGGGAGAGGGTAAATATTGAAACTCATAGAAAATATTAGAAAAACTCGATAGTATTTAAAAAATCTCCTTAATTACCCAACTTTGAAGTGGGGTCATTTAAAATATTTTTTTTTTCTTTTCGAAATTGATACAACAAATGACTTCCCCAATAGATAACTCCTAATTACCCTAAGTAATTAACTAAATTGCCAATTATATTCACAGTTAACAATATCTTGAATATATAAGGTCAGTTAGTGAAAGCGAAATTCAAAAACACTCAAAGTTTTGCCTCAACTGAAAACTAATAATGAAATTTTTAACTTTCGTCCTTTTCTTGGCTTTGGTGGCTTTATCCTTGGGAAAGGTAATTTTCAAAGATTTTTTAAAGATTTTAATTTCTGTTTGTATTTTTATTTTTCAGCCTTCTGATGATAATGCCGCAGGACCGGACTCCAATGGACCACAACCCTCCCATCCTGAAGAAAATCCAACACGCTTCCATGTGGATCCCTACTATAACCCCAATGGCGGAGGATTTGGCATCAATATTGGCTTTTAAAAAAATAAAGTTAATAACAAAAAGATAAATGTCAATAAATATATGGAGATAAAATAACCAACATTTTTTGTATTTTTAAGGATACAAATATTGAAATTTTTCAAGAATTCTTGAAGATTTTTCAAAAAAAAATTTAAGGTCTCCAGGATACACAAATGAGGATTAAAAAAATTAATTTCAAGGATTCGTAGTACCATGATCTTGGATTTTTAAATATTTTTTCAAGGACTCTCGGCGCCACAATTGAGGAGTTTTAAATAGTTTTTGTAAGTACTCCCAGGACCATAAGCATGGACCTTTCAAATATTTTTTTTGAAAACTCCAAAGGCTACAGTTGGGGATTTTTTGAATAATTTTTCTAAGGACTCGTGGTGCCATTTTCTTAGATTTTATTAACAATTTTCCATCAAGGATTTATCTTTAAATTATTTTTCTCAAGGACTTCAAAGGCCACAATAAAGGATTTTTAACTAATTTTGCAAAGAACTTCAGGAGCCATAATTGAGGACTTTTTTAATAGATTTTTTCAAGGACTACTAAGGCTATAATCGTGGATTTTTTAAATATTTTTATTTAGGGACTTTTTAAATATTTTTATTCAAGGACTTCCAAGGCTATAAACGTGGATTTTTGAAATATTTTTATTCAAGGACTTCCAAGGCTATAAACGTGGTTTTTTTTAAATATTTTTACTCAAGGACTTCGATAGCCATAAACCTGGATTTTTTAAATATTTTCATTCAAGGACTTCCAAGGCTATAAACGTGGTTTTTTTTTAATTTTTTTTTCAAGGACTTCCAAGGCTGTAAACGTGGATTTTTAAATTATTTTTTATTTAAGTACTTCCAAGACTATAAACGTGGATTTTTTAAATATTTTTTATTTAAGGACTTCCAAGGCTATAAACGTGGATTTTTTTAAATATTTTTATTTAAGGAATTCTAAGGCTATAAATGTGGATTTTTTAAATATTTTTATTTAAGGAATTCTAAGGCTATAAATGTGGTTTTTTTAAATATTTTTATTCAAGGACTTCCAAGGCTATAAACGTGGATTTTTTAAATATTTTTATTTAAGGACTTCCAAGTCTATAAACGTGGATTTTTTAAATATTTTTTATTTAGGGACTTCCAAGGCTGTAAACGTGAATTTTTTAAATATTTTTTTATTTAAGGACTTCCAAGGCTATAAACGTGGATTTTTTAAATATTTTTCATTCAAGGACTTCCAAGGTTATAAACGTGGATTTTTTAAATATCTTTTTATTCAAGGACTTTCAAGGCAATCAACGTGGATTTTTTTAAATATTTTTATTTAAGGAATTCTAAGGCTATAAATGTGGATTCTTTAAATATTTTTATTCAAGGACTTCCAAGGCTATAAACGTGGATTTTTTAAATATTTTTATTCAAGGACTTCCAAGGCTATAAACGTGGATTTTTTAAATATTTTTATTCAAGGACTTCCAAGGCTATAAACGTGGATTTTTTAAATATTTTTTATTTAAGGACTTCCAAGGCCATAAACGTGGATTTTTTAAATATTTTTTATTTAAGGACTTCCAAGGCTATAAACGTGGATTTTTTAAATATTTTTTATTTAAGGACTTCCAAGGCCATAAACGTGGATTTTTTAAATATTTTTTATTTAAGGACTTCCAAGGCTATAAACGTGGATTTTTTAAATATTTTTTATTTAAGGACTTCCAAGGCCATAAACGTGGATTTTTTAAATATTTTTTATTTAAGGACTTCCAAGGCTATAAACGTGGATTTTTTAAATATTTTTTATTTAAGGACTTCCAAGGCCATAAACGTGGATTTTTTAAATATTTTTTATTTAAGGACTTCCAAGGCTATAAACGTGGATTTTTTAAATATTTTTTATTTAAGGACTTCCAAGGCCATAAACGTGGATTTTTTAAATATTTTTTATTTAAGGACTTCCAAGGCTATAAACGTGGATTTTTTAAATATTTTTATTTAAAGACTTCCAAGGCTATAAACGTGGATTTTTTAAATATTTTTTATTTAAGGACTTCCAAGGCTATAAATGTGGATTTTTTAAATATTTTTTATTTAAGGACTTCCAAGGCCATAAACTTGGATTTTTTAAATATTTTTTATTTAAGGACTTCCAAGGCCATAAACGTGGATTTTTTAAATATTTTTTATTTAAGGACTTCCAAGGCTATAAACGTGGATTTTTTAAATATTTTTTATTTAAGGACTTCCAAGGCTATAAACGTGGATTTTTTAAATATTTTTATTTAAAGACTTCCAAGGCTATAAACGTGGATTTTTTAAATATTTTTTATTTAAGGACTTCCAAGCCTATAAACGTGGATTTTTTAAATATTTTTTATTTAAGGACTTCCAAGGCCATAAACGTGGATTTTTTAAATATTTTTTATTTAAGGACTTCCAAGGCTATAAACGTGGATTTTTTAAATATTTTTTATTTAAGGACTTCCAAGGCCATAAACGTGGATTTTTTAAATATTTTTTATTTAAGGACTTCCAAAGCTATAAACGTGGATTTTTTAAATATTTTTTATTTAAGGACTTCCAAGGCTATAAACGTGGATTTTTTAAATATTTTTATTTAAAGACTATAAACGTGGATTTTTTAAATATTTTTTATTTAAGTACTTCCAAGGCCATAAACGTGGATTTTTTAAATATTTTTTATTTAAGGACTTCCAAGGCTATAAACGTGGATTTTTAAATATTTTTTATTTAAGGACTTCCAAGGCCATAAACGTGGATTTTTTAAATATTTTTTATTTAAGGACTTCCAAGGCCATAAACGTGGATTTTTTAAATATTTTTTATTTAAGGACTTCCAAGGCTATAAACGTGGATTTTTTAAATATTTTTTATTTAAGGACTTCCAAGGCCATAAACGTGGATTTTTTAAATATTTTTTATTTAAGAACTTCCAAGGCCATAAACGTGGATTTTTTAAATATTTTTTATTTAAGGACTTCCAAGGCCATAAACGTGGATTTTTTAAATATTTTTTATTTAAGGACTTCCAAGGCTATAAACGTGGATTTTTTAAATATTTTTTATTTAAGGACTTCCAAGGCCATAAACGTGGATTTTTTAAATATTTTTTATTTAAGGACTTCCAAGGCTATAAACGTGGATTTTTTAAATATTTTTTATTTAAGGACATCCAAGGCCATAAACGTGGATTTTTTAAATATTTTTTATTTAAGGACTTCCAAGGCTATAAACGTGGATTTTTTAAATATTTTTTATTTAAGGACTTCCAAGGCTATAAACGTGGATTTTTTAAATATTTTTATTTAAGGACTTCCAAGGCCATAAACGTGGATTTTTTAAATATTTTTTATTTAAGGACTTCCAAGGCCATAAACGTGGAGTTTTTAAATATTTTTTATTTAAGGACTTCCAAGGCTATAAACGTGGATTTTTTAAATATTTTTTATTTAAGGACTTCCAAGGCTATAAACGTGGATTTTTTAAATATTTTTTATTTAAGGACTTCCAAGGCCATAAACGTGGATTTTTTAAATATTTTTTATTTAAGGACTTCCAAGGCCATAAACGTGGATTTTTTAAATATTTTTTATTTAAGGACTTCCAAGGCTATAAACGTGGATTTTTTAAATATTTTTTATTTAAGGACTTCCAAGGCTATAAACGTGGATTTTTTAAATATTTTTTATTTAAGGACTTAGAAGGCTATAAACGTGGATTTTTTAAATATTTTTATTTAAAGACTTCCAAGGCTATAAACGTGGATTTTTTAAATATTTTTTATTTAAGGACTTCCAAGGCTATAAACGTGGATTTTTTAAATATTTTTTATTTAAGGACTTCCAAGGCCATAAACGTGGATTTTTTAAATATTTTTTATTTAAGGACTTCCAAGGCTATAAACGTGGATTTTTTAAATATTTTTTATTTAAGGACTTCCAAGGCCATAAACGTGGATTTTTTAAATATTTTTTATTTAAGGACTTCCAAGGCTATAAACGTGGATTTTTTAAATATTTTTTATTTAAGGACTTCCAAGGCCATAAACGTGGATTTTTTAAATATTTTTTATTTAAGGACTTCCAAGGCTATAAACGTGGATTTTTTAAATATTTTTTATTTAAGGACTTCCAAGGCTATAAACGTGGATTTTTTAAATATTTTTTATTTAAGTACTTCCAAGGCCATAAACGTGGATTTTTTAAATATTTTTTATTTAAGGACTTCCAAGGCTATAAACGTGGATTTTTTAAATATTTTTTATTTAAGGACTTCCAAGGCCATAAACGTGGATTTTTTAAATATTTTTTATTTAAGGACTTCCAAGGCTATAAACGTGGATTTTTTAAATATTTTTTATTTAAGGACTTCCAAGGCCATAAACGTGGATTTTTTAAATATTTTTTATTTAAGGACTTCCAAGGCTATAAACGTGGATTTTTTAAATATTTTTTATTTAAGGACTTCCAAGGCCATAAACGTGGATTTTTTAAATATTTTTTATTTAAGGACTTCCAAGGCTATAAACGTGGATTTTTTAAATATTTTTTATTTAAGGACTTCCAAGGCCATAAACGTGGATTTTTTAAATATTTTTTATTTAAGGACTTCCAAGGCTATAAACGTGGATTTTTTAAATATTTTTTATTTAAGGACTTCCAAGGCCATAAACGTGGATTTTTTAAATATTTTTTATTTAAGGACTTCCAAGGCTATAAACGTGGATTTTTTAAATATTTTTTATTTAAGGACTTCCAAGGCCATAAACGTGGATTTTTTAAATATTTTTTATTTAAGGACTTCCAAGGCTATAAACGTGGATTTTTTAAATATTTTTATTTAAGGACTTCCAAGGCTATAAACGTGGATTTTTTAAATAATTTTTATTTAAGGACTTCCAAGGCTATAAACGTGGATTTTTTAAATATTTTTTATTTAAGGACTTCCAAGGCTATAAACATGGATTTTTTAAATATTTTTATTTAAGGACTTCCAAGGCTATAAACGTGGATTTTTTAAATAATTTTTATTTAAGGACTTCCAAGGCTATAAA